TTCTTTTGCAGTTTGGAATTAGGGATCTGGTCTTTTAGAATTCATACTCCAAGTATCCCTTCACTTAGCTAATCAAAAAACATCAGAGTTGTCAGGCTACAAATATCAGAGGTACTATATATGCCCTTCCATTTAGTATGTGGAGAGAATGGATTCTATTGTGAAGTAGTCAGCTGAAGATGTCTTTATTATCACCAGCAGGACGACCAGTCAATGATGAATTCTTTGGTCATGGTACCTCATCAATTAGAGAAAAACTGAAAAAGTGTCCCCTAGTCCTAAGTAATCTCCTTCTACCCCATAGTGAAATGGTACAAAGGGAGGTAAAGGGGGCTAAGAATGACACCATTCTTTAGATCATCTATAACATTAACCGTCTGTACTCTGAGTATAACGTATTTGACCCATAGAAAGAATTGAACCAAATCAATGTTGATAAGCTCATGATAAATGAAGGCAGGAGTACATGAAGAAGTTGCAAGCGAATGGAAAGATAACTCACAGATGTGAGAGATGAACAGGAAGACGCAATGGGATGACTTTTGTCCTTCCTGCTTCCAAAGGTAGTAACTGCACAAGCCCCTAAAAGACCTCTCTGAAGGTAATTACAGTTTGTACACTGACATTTCATACTGAAGATGAAGACATAGAAAAAATCCATGAAGAACTTGATATGATTCTTCAAACCTAACTAACATAGACTTTGATATGTGGTGACCTCAGTATGAAGATGGCAGAGAATAATGGCAGGATATGAAAAGAAATGGGAAGAGATAGAAGAGAATGGAGTATATGGAAATATGTTTTTTTGTTGTTCAGTTATTTTTCAGGTGTGTCCAACTCCTCGTGACCCCATTTGGGGTTTTCTTGGCAGAGATACTGGAGTGACTTGCCATTTCCTTCTCCAGCTCATTTTATAGATGAGGAAACTGAGGCAAACAGGGTTGAGTAAGTCACCTAACCAGTAAGCATCTAAGGCCAGATTTGAACTCAGGAAGATGAATCTCCCTGACTCCAAGCCCAGCACTCTATCCACTGCACCACCTAGCTGCCCGTGGTTAGAGTATAAAAAGTGAAGGAGAGCAAAGACTTTATAGAGTACTCAGAAGTCTTATGCCAACATACTACGATTACTTTAAAAAAAAACGAATTAGAGGTGCTGGACATTCAGAATACTAAATAATATTACTAGAATGAAATCAACTTTCTCTTAACAGACAGGAATTTATTAGGACCACTCATCTATATGTAGGCAGAACATCAACCCAGAGCAGTGGTCAAAACCAACAACAAATGGGAAGAAAGGCCAATGAGAAGACATTGCAAGCAATCACAAATGAAACTTGATGTTCAAATGAGTTACTGATGTAAAAGAAAGGGGGGGGGGAGATAATGGAAAATGGTCACGTTATTGACCATGACTGCCATTATTTCCTGTAGGAGTTTAAGTGTTGTAAACACTTCCTTAGCTAGCGAAAGCTTGATTTCTCCTGGGCAGTGAAACATAACAGTCAAGGACAACAGAATATTAGGAAGTTGACAATGGAAGCTCATGAGCATTCCTCCCTCATGAAATAGTAGAAAAGCACTGGCGAAAAGGAGAAACTTTTGCTGTTAGATCAAATCAATTTGTGTCATCCCATTGGCTTTATACCTGTGTACCTGGCAGGAACCCCCCAAAAGTTGAAAAATCTGTTTGCTTTTTTTGGGGTGAGGCAATGGGGTTAAGTGACTTGCCCAGGGTCACACAGCTAGTGAGTATTATGTGTCTGAGGCCGGATTTGAACTCAGATCCTCCTGGCTCCAGGGCTGGTGCTCTATCCACCGCACCATGTAGCTGCCCCAAGCAAACAGATTTGTCAAGCATTTCTGTTGTGATCTATTTCCATCATCACTAGCCATGGAACTGTTTACATTTGGGCTCTTAAAAAACACTGCAGACCCTGATTGCCATCCATACATAACACAGGCAGCAGTGACCCCTTAAAAAGACAAAGTCAGAAAGAATGATTGGACCAAACTAAATATATTTAGAAGGAATCCTTTCTGGAAGCAGCTGTAATTTTAAAAAGCCATGAATAAACTATCTCAGGAAGGAGAAGATGTCAAAAGATTGGAAACAAACAATAATTGGCATTTTCACTGACTGTTCCCTGAGTCATAATAGCATCTACCTCCCAGGGTTGTTGTGAGGATAAAGTAAGATGATATTTATAAAATGTTATTATTATTATTATTATTATATCTTTCTTCCAACAGTGCAAATTGAAACCCAGGTGTGGCACCACTCTAGTGCAGGCCCTTATTACCTCATACTTGGAGTATTGCAGTGGCCTCTGGTTGGTCTGCTTGCCTCAAGTCTCTCTCCCCATTCCTTATGCAGCCCCTGAAGTGATTTTCCTAAAGCACAGGTACAGACATGTCACTCCCACTCCACTCCCACCCCCATTCAATAAACTCCAGTGGCTTCCTATTGCCTCTAGGATCAAATACAAAAACGGTCTGAGGCCAGATTTGAACTCAGGTCTTCCAGAATCCAGGGCCAGTGCTCTATCCACTGCACCATCTAGCTACCCCTGAAAGGCCTTCTTTGGAAGGAATTTTTTTTTAAACTTTTATACTTATGTATGGAATGAAGGTCACCCACTTCTATTAGTCTTCTATTACTTCAGAATCTCATGGGCAGAATGTTGCATGAGTCCACTTTTAAGCTTACATAGTATGCTCACTGCTACAGATTGCCATGCTCCTTGACACAAGGTAGTTCCCATCCTTAAGCAGTCTCAAGTAAAGGTTTCAAGGGTGGGACATTCTCTAAGGCTTTGGTAACATTGCTTTCAAGCATTAGTTAGACCATACCACCTCAAAATCTACCTTCCCTAAAAGGTTTTGTTTTGGTTTTGTTTTTAAGCCCTTGTTTAACAGATGCTGAATTATGTAGCAGTTGCCTATTGTATGATAGCCCTATAGGCCAACCTGTCTGAATAGGCCCTGCCAAAGTCTGAAATATGACTGGTGGCTATTCACAACTACAAAGTTCTTGGGGGTCAGGCACAATAAACAGACTGCTAACCAAATGAGCTGACTTTTCTCTGATTTTTTTAAATCATCCAAGAAAAATTCTCAAAGCTTCAAATGCCCCTTAATAAGTTTCGTTGTTCTGTTTATTCTACATAACTCAAGGCAACTCATTGGTTTTAGTATGTAATACTTACAATATAAATTCTCTCTTGGAGTTTCTCTACATTTCAGTAACAATGATTATCTGAATTTAGGCAGAGCCCAAGTGGAGTCAGGAAAACCCGAGTTCAAATTAGGCCTCAAGCACTTAACAGCTATGTGACTCTGGGGAAGTCACTTAATGCTGTTTGCCTCAGTGTCCTCATCTGTAAAATGAGCTGGAGAAGGAAATGACAAACCACTCTAGTATCTGCAAGAAAACCCCAGATGGGGTCATGAAGAGTTGGTGAGACCCTATGGTATATATGTCATAAACAGAGGAATCCATAAACCTATTTTCTCTTGCAACTAATATATCTGAAATTAAATTCTAACTTTGATCTTTTACACACACACATCTCATCAACTTAGCCAATGAGTCACCTATAGACTTTAAATCCACTATGTAGGTCTTCAATCAGGGAGAGAGAAAGCTAATATATTTAAGAATTCTGATTTATTTTTTAGTATCAAAAAACATACATTTGCCCTCCAACCAGTGAATCACACGAGATTCAAGCTACCATTGAGTAAGGAAAGTAGTGTTCTGATAAATTCTTGGAGTGTTGGAAGCTTGGTACTTGGCCCAGATTCTCTTTACTTAATTGTCACATTCCCAATTGTAGATGAATCAAATGTCCTTTGGATAGTGATATTTTTGTAACCTCTAAGGCAGGAATTCTTAATCTAAGATCCCTAAACTTATTTTTAATGGCAAGTAGTTAGTTAACAAACATTTATTAAGCACTTACAATATGCCAGACATTCAGCTAACCACTGGGGATGCAAAGAAAGGCAAAAGACAGTCCCTGCCCTGATGGGACAGACAGAATGGAAATAACTATGCGTTTAGTTATGCAGCCATATACCGGATGGATAGGAAATAATCAACAGAGGGAAGGCACTGTTGTTAAGAGGGATTGGGGAAGGCTTCCTATAGAAGGTAGAATTTTAGCCAGGACTTGAAGGAAGCCAGAAAGCAGAGGTGAGGAGGGAGAACATTCCAGGCATGGGGGTATGGGGAGGATAACCACTGAAAATGTTTGGAAAGAGGCTAGTATCTCTGTGTCAAAGATAATTGGGGAGGTGTAAAGTGCAAGAAGACTGTAAAGATAGGGGAAACAGGTTATAAAGAGCTTTGAATGCCAAAAACAATTGAGTGAGGAGAGGCAGGCAGACCCACCATTTGTAAGAGTCCAGGCATAAGGTGCACCAGGGCGGTGGCAATTATCAGAGCAGAGAAGGGGCATATGTGAGAGATGTTACAAAGATAAAATCAACAGGCTATGGCAACAGATTGGATGTATTGGGAGTTGGGAGATAGTGAAAAGTTGAGGATGATGCCTAGTTTTAGCTCTTGGAGAACTAGAAGGATGATGATGCCCTTAACTATAGTTGGGAAGTCTGGAAAGATATTACTAATATATTTTAATATAATGTATAATATTTGGCATTATATTTAGTGTAATTTAAAATATTATGCATTATAATTACATAATAACTAATATCCAATACAACATAATTATATAACAGTTATATATAATCAAACATTGTATAATATAATATTATTTAATACCATATTTTATATCATTTAAATGTTTAATTGTTACAATTAACCCTTGCTGAAAAGGAATACCATTACCCTGGCAAGCAAAATTCTAAAGCACTAAGATGTCAATGTGAAGTGTTAATTCTTTGCAGTGCAACTCAAATATGGTTTTCTTAGCTTAAACTCTTTGCTCCTTAAGATAAACTTATTTAATTTTGTTGTTATTTTGCAGGAATTTATTTTATCAGAAGATTACAACAAGATGACCCCTGTGAAAAACTACCAAGGTAGGAAATAGGGCTGCTATAGATTCCCAAAGAAAACACGGCTTGATGCTTTTAATGACTAGCTTTGTCATTAATGTCTAAAGGGCTGACATACTTAACTACAGCTAAGGGTGCTGTTTCTTTTTTGAATTAGATTCTTTTTTGGAGAAAGTAGATGGGAGAGTTTTTTCTTCCTTCCTCTCACTCTCTTTGTGAACATTTTAAATAGCTGAAATATTTCACTGACCTCAGTCCACCCCCAGCTTTCATTAGTGAGGTCTTAAGGTCCAGAGAATGTGCCAAGAAGATAAAATAATATAGAAGCTGCTACTCTTTGGGGAAAAGTCATTTCCCACAATAGTCCTGAAATTTGGTAAAACTCCAGCATGTGATGAGGTTTCTGAGTTGGCAGAGAAAAAAGATGGTTAGATGTTGATCTGGCTTTTGCTCAAAGTATGGATTATTAAGGAATACCAGAGAATTTCAAACCTTACCATAATCTTTAGGAAAAGGCAAGAAAGCTAATTACAGCTCTTGACATTTCCCTGTCCTTTAGCATTGGCAGGATCCCACTTGAAGTCCTTCTGGAAAGGCTACCATATAATGTAATTAACTAAGTACTCCCATCATAGTGGGGTTTTAGGTTACAGTGTGAAAGAATACACAGAATATTTCATCATGGAAAATGTAGTGATGATAAAAATAATAATATCAAGACTTTTGCCTTGTAGTCGTCTATTGAGGCAGTGTAGTAGAGTAGAAAAAGTCACAGATTTGGAGCCCTAAACTTGGGGACCTGAGTTAGAATCCTCATCTTCTATTTATTCCTATATGACCTTAGACAAATCACTTATCCTCTGGGGGCCTCAATTTTCTAATCTGTAAAATGAAGGGGTTAGATTAGATCACCGGATAGGTCCCATTCAGCTCTTGATCTATAATCTCTTTAAAATATCTGCTACCATCAGAAAGCCTGAAATCTGACCACAAACAATGGAGTGTGATTGTTCAAAGAAGTCGATGAAATTTTGTTCTGGTCAGAATTGATAGTATTCCATCTAGCTGAATTTCGACCGGCAATGGAACAAAGAAATTTTATAAGAGGTTCATTCCATTTTATGTAACCGTGTTCATGTGGAGGGAAAAACTACTGCCAGCTGCCCCTAATATGTTGCTAATATCTTTGTCCTTCAGGGGGTCCTAGGTCCTTTCATTATCCCCTCTGAGAGACGTATAGCAGCTGATGGCTGCCTCATCCACCTCGGCATTTCTTTTCCTCATGTAGCACCTTTTTTGTCATGACTAGGGGATTGAGAAGTAAGGCCAGAGGGAAGTTGGGAGTAGATCACACTTCACCACTGCCCTACCTCCTTTCACTAATGACCACAGAGCAAGGGCTTACTCTAATTTGAACCAGGATAGTGGTTAAACAAGAATGCTGAGTTAGAATGGAGTGCTAATGAGCCTGAGTTTAGAGGCTCAACTTCCATTCATGGCAATTCATTTCTGATTCTGTTCCAGGGATCGCATCCTAATCTAATTGTTATCATTGGTCAGAGACATTCAGAATATAGATATAGATAGATAAATTTTTTTGGGGGGTGTATATATGTATACATACCTATCTGTCTATCTTGATAGACATGACATCACTGTGGGAAGAGCTGCTGTTCTTACATCTGTCTGTCTGTGAGTCATACAAGGACAACATCATTAGCAGTGGTATCTCAGCCACCCAGGTTCTGCTGCTGTAACCGTCTTTTCACAACTATAAGACTAGAATGATCATTGTCTAAAGTTGGTAGCATGTTCCAATCTCCTTTGATCAAGTGATAAACTGTTTAACTTGAAAGAAAGTCATCTTGAACATTGTACACAGCAACAGCAGCATTGTTCAATGATCAGCTATGACAGACTTAGCTCTTCTCAGCAATACAATGATTCAAGACAATTCCAAAAGACTCATGATAGAAAATGTTATCCACATTGGGAGAAAGAACTATGGAGTCTGAATGAAGACCGAAGCATACTATTTTTACTTTTTTTGTTTTTTCTTGTAGTTTCCCCCTTTTGTTCTGATTCTTCTTTCACAACATGACTAATGTGGAAATAATGTTTGACGTGATTGTACATGTATAACCTGTATGAGATTGCTTGCTTTCTTGGGGAGAGGGGAGGGGAGGGAGAAAAATTTGGAACTCAAAATTTTACGAAAATGAATGTTGAAAACTATCTTTACATGTAATTGGGCAAAAAATAAAAATAAAAAAGTAATATTGGCCAAATTGGGGGTGGAGGGAGAGAAAGAAACTCATCTTTATCTAGCAACTAGCTCAGTGCCTGACACATAGTAGGTACTTAAGTGTTGATTGATTATTCTGATCTGAAAAGCTCTCAATAGTTCTGTCTTTTTCTGAGCAGATTTTGAGCATGCCTGTATACACACACACACACACACACACACACACACACACTCACTCACTCACTCACTCCTTGAGATTTTTTACCAGCAGAATTTTTCTCTGTTGTTTCTCTTCAAACCTTCCCAGATAGATATAGGTTGGGCAATTTCAGCAATGGAGGTTAGCATGAAAGCCCTGGTCATGCTATTGGATCTTAGTTGAGACTGGTCATGATGGTGTCATGTAGTATGTTTTTAACATTCTAGTAGCATTAAGATTATGTAGGTAGTGTTAAATGTATGGTTTAGATAAGCTCTTATGAAAAGCTGCTTGTTGTAATGAGCAGGGAAATGGCTTCTGCATCAAGAGTTCAGCTCCCTCCTGATATATCCTGGCTGCATGACTTTGGGCACGTCATTGGCCCTCTCGGTGCCCCAGAGGGCTCTCTCAGACCATTTGTGGCAGAGGAGTTGCCAGTCTGCATCATCCGGAGTGTGGGGCGGTCTCTTCGCTGGAAGCTCAGCGTACACAGAAACTGAGAGAGTCGGAGCAATGTAAAAACCCAGGCTATTATAAGATAGCCACTGGTATGTGTGCCTTGCTATTAAAGTTACTTGCTTTTTCCTTGTGTGACATTTGGGAATAAGAAGTTGCAGTTCTTTCAAAAGTATTTGTGAGGTCTGACAGAAAGCTTGACTTCCGAAGCTTTGCTATCAATGTGTAAGCTAAGCTTTTTAGTTATCATCAGTCAGTAAGTATTAATTAAGCACCTACTGTGTGCCAGGCACTGTGTTAAGCCAAGAAGTCATTATTATTAGACTAAACAAGCCAGCCATGCTGTCAGTGTTTGTCCAGACATTTTGTTGGGCTGTGATTGTCATTCAGCTAAGACCTGAAGTTACCCTTTTCTGTTACTGACATACAGAATACTTCAGGTGGTATTTGACTGTAATGCCCTGATGATTTATCAGTTTCCGCTGGGTGGGGGCAGAGGGAATGGCACATTCCTATTGAAATGTTTAACTCTCTTTTCCTGGTCTTCTGCTTAGAATGACAAATAGGTCTGTTGTCTTTTGTTTTTCAGCTCACCAGAGCAGGGTAACGATGGTCCTGTTTGTACTAGAGATGGAGTGGGTGCTGAGCACGGGGCAGGACAAATACTTCACCTGGCACTGCTCAGAGAGCGGGCAGCGCCTGGGAGGTTACCGCACCAGCTCTGGACCCTCTGGCTTGCAGTATCCTTAATTTTTTTTTTCCTTCTTTGAATGAGTTTAAGGCTTCTAGAATTTAAAAAGTTTTCTTGCTGAGTTGCCCTGTGGGAATGGGAAGTATTCTAGACTTCCCTAGCACTCAAGTCATCCTGGGTGTGGGGGTGGCTAGGGACTGAAGTGAAATAAAGTTTGTGCTATGCCACAGCCTGAGATGCATTGCATGAGAGATGAAATGGAGGCTGAGCTGTCTCTACGCTATAGCCTAGTCATACTCTGTCAAGTGCAGAGCCTAGCTGTCTGAAAGCAAAGTCAAGAGATCCACTCCAGGTGTATAGAAGAAGGAAATGCAAAGAACTGCAGAATGCAGACTTTAGGTTTTTTCTCTTACAGTGACAACTATCAGCCGATAGAAACCAAGGCTTCTGAACAACATCCCATCTGGTTAGTAGGAGATAAGACAGCTCAGAGCACATTACCAGGCAAACATATGGTGATGTTCCAAGTTTTGTCTCCAGCTGTGGGACTGGACCACACCATGCCCTCTTGAGCTGCCTAAGAGTGATGTTAACGGTCCCCGACCTTCACTAGATCTAACAATCTGCCGTCCCCCCAGAAAGGTTTATCGGTTGGGACGTGCAGCACTTAGCACAGCACCTGGCACAGAGTAGGCACTCTGTAAATGCAAGTTGATTGATTAGCAGAAAGGTCTGCCTTTCTGTAGCAAATATAACCTTTGAATGATCAGGCGAAGAGAGTAATAAGTTGATCACAGAATCATGGGTTTAGAAGGGATTTTGAGGTCCTAATTTTAAAAGCATACCTTCAGTAGGTCTACATTTCAGTTTATTTGACCAAACAGCAAACCTTTGCCCTGGTTCCCTGTCTCTACACCCATTCAATCCACCCTTCATAGTACTCCCAGACTAACACATAGGTCCGGACATTTCATTCTGCTCAGAAACCTTCAGTGATTTCCTGTCAAATAAAACTTCTTAGCCTTGCTTTGAAAGTCCTCCAATCTAATTACTATCTCCCTGCCTATTCTTATCTCCTGAATACTCTGTGCTCCCATCATAATGGAGTATGTCTCCCCTGAACGTGCCTCATACTTTTCCACCCCTGGGTTTTTTCTTGTTCACGTTGTTTCCTGTGCGTGGATGATGAACTGTTTACCTTGAAAGAAATTCATCTTCATCTAGCGCCCAGCTCAGTGCTGGGCCCATAGTAGGTACTTCAGTGTTGATTAACATGAGACTTTTATTCTGAGCATAAAAACTCTCAGTGATATGTCTCCCTTCTTCCACCCTTTGAATTCCCACTTATCCTTTAAAGTTCGGCTCTAGGGACAATTCTTCCATCAGTCTTTTTCTGATTAGCCCCTCAGACCTCATTCTGCACTTTGTTTCTTTGTTTGCCTTTCTGGTAGACTAGTTATATGTAATTGTGTATTGTTGTTATCTGCCGTATTTGTCTGATTTCCCCACTAGACTTAGGATAATGTCATACCTAGACTTTGTGTCTCCCCTGTTGCCTAGCACGGTGCTTTGTAACATAGAAGGCACTTACTAAATTCAGTTCAGTTTTAACAAGTAGTTAATGTGTACAGAGCACCATGCTGAGCAGTGGGAGAGACCCAAAGTTCAAGCCAGAGATGGGCCCTGTTGTCATGGAGCTTCAGCTTGATACATACACGGTAACTATACTGCAGTATTCTGTGTAGGTGCAAGTACGTAAAGGTAAGCAGGAAAAAAGATAATTTGCAAAGTCAGGAAGAAAAGCAGTGGTGGATACCTCCAGCTTTCAGATTCTCCCCTCCATATATGGGACTGAGACTTGAAAAATGTATGAAGTCATGTGTTCTGTGTTCCCCAGCAGCCAGATCATCTGCTTGGCAGTCCCTGCAGATGGGTGTCAGGACCCGGAGCCCTTCCCTCTTCTCTCGATGAGCCAACTCGCTTTGAAAGCTGTCAATTTCACTCTCATTTTCTACTGCTCATCACAGCCATGCTTTTGGAGAGATTTACCGAAGAGGAAGGGGAGCAGGCTGAAAGAAATTGTATCAAATTAGCATGAGATCAGATGGCAGCTTAATAATTATCTTCATAAAATTTTAAAATGTACTCTGCACTTAAGCTCTGATAATTGTACTTATTCAGTCTGTCAGTATTCAGTGCTATCTGAGACATCATTACTGTGACATTGAGCTGATAAAAAAGATTTTGCAGGTTGGTACCTTTTGTCCCCGGGCCCAGCATAACAAAATTCACTTTCAAGGCTACAGAGCCGAGGGAAAGAAACTTCCTAACCAGTGGCCTTCATTCACAGAGAGAGCTTTGTTAATAACTTGTAAAGCCTAAGTGAAAAAGCATCCCAGTGCAAAGGGAGAAGGAGGAACAAAAGATTGATCAAAAATGGGGTGGGTGGACCTGAATCCACCAGACAGACGTGTCTTAGGTCGGCCTACCACTTTGAGTCGCTAGTTTCTGTGCGCTGCATTTTGTGTGCATTATAGCTAATAGCTTTCCCATTTCTCCCATTTAAGGACAAGGAAGGCTGGAAGCGAGGGAGATAACCAGCCTATTTTGGGGGAGACACCAAACATGGCCTCTGACAGAAGTCAGTCAGTTCAGGAGCTTGGGCTGAAGCCCAAGATTTCTTCAAGCAACTGCCCTTGACACCTGCCTTTGAGGAAGTTGCAGCTGGGCTCACTTTTCAGTTCGGTTTAATAAGAACCTATCAAGTGCTTAATGTAGGCAGAAGGCTATGCTAGGCACTGGGTGGAATTTGAAATTTAAATAAAACTTCATTGCTGCCTTTGTGGAGCTCATAGGCAGTAAGGGGAGAAAACCTGTGCAAATAAATGGAGGTGAGAGAGCTAGGTCTAGGAGTGGCAAGAGTGTGGAAATTGGAGTCAGGAAGACCAGAGTTCAAATCCAGCCTCAGACCTAACAGCTGTTTGCCTCAGTTTCCTCATCTGTAAAATGGTAATAACAGTAGTCTGTTATGAGGACAAAAATGAGATATTTGTAAAGCATTTAGCACAGTGCCTGGCACATAGCAGGCACTATGTAAATTCTTATTCTCCCTACCTCAGTTCAAAAGAATATGATGGTGCCTCCTATTTTCCAATCATCGATGAGACATTATATGTATGCTTTGCCTCTCCCCTGTACAATTAATATTCCTAAAACGCAGGGCTATGTCCCTTTCCAACTCAAAAATCTTGAAAGGATTCCTCTTCCTTTTAGGATAAGAGATAAGATCTTGTCATTTAAAGCCTCTACCATCTGGTCATCACTGACCTTTCTAGACTTGTGAAGCCTTTCCTGGCCTCTCCACACTCCCTCTAACCCAGCTGTTAGTTCTCTCTCCCTTCTCAGGTTACCTTGTAGTTACTTATCTGTTTACATGTTCTATCTCCCAAATAAAATGGAAACTACTTGAGGATGAGAGTGTTTGGTTTTTGCCTTTCTGTCGCCCCAATGTCCGGTACATAATTAATGTATGTGTTCATTAAATTGAGTGGTGTGTGTCAAGCCCAGAAAGAAGATAGACCTCTGTGCAAAAGGATATGAAGAAAGAATGGCAGTTCACCTTTATCTAATTGTCAATGTTTGGTCACAGCACCTTTCTCCAGAGGGGACAGCACCCTCTTACTCCATCATTTGTCACAACCACAACCGTAGCTACAACATTGATTCAACATAATTTACAGTCTTACCCGTCTTCTTTGCATGTGCAAAGGACCCTTGGGTTTCAGCTTCCTTGTTAGTTAACTGGTGGCTGAGCTAAATCCAGCCAACGTAGTGGTGGTGATGCTAACGGAAATGACCATGAACTATGCAAACACTCCTGAAAAGAGTGCCTGACCTCAGCTAACTCCCCCTTGCTGGCTCAGAATTTGGAGCCCCAGTGGCAGCCCAGCAACTGGAAACATATATTTAGCCAACACTAGAACACTGGCCGCTTGACAGTTTGGGCTTTAGCCAGAGAAATCTCCGCCAGGGACCAGCTGACTTTCCTTATTCCAGAATGTTTTTTTCTGGATAATGACTAGATATCTTGGACACATTGCAAATAGGCAGTCAGATAGCGTTTGGAAAGAGATTTCAAAACAGGTCCCATGAAAAAACACACATAATCAATCAATCTCCATCTTCCTAATTCTATGTTTTGTTTAATATTTTGTTTTGTCTTTTGATTTATTTATTCATTCATCCATTCCTACATTCATTCATTTATTTGTTTAATTATATTTGGTTGGGAGAAAGAGAGGAGAATAAGGCTAGATAAGTCACAAAATTTTCTGAATGGCATGGTTAAGAGATTTATTTTCCTTGGCAATGGAGAAGTAGACTTGGCTAGATAGGTGAAGTCCACAGATTATCCACAGACTTCATTTTAGGCCATGTTTTTAACTTTTCTTTTTGCTAGCAGTCTTGTAAAAGTTTAAAAAGAATCAGCTGATTTCAATTTCACTTTCTTTCCACTTCTTTCTCCATCTTGTAAGAGGAACATGGTGCCTGGTACATATAGTAGGGACTTAACAAATGCTTATTTGTTAAAAAGATGGATAAGTAGTAAAATTGAGCCTTGAATACTTGGATCTCTTTGACTAAGAGTGCTGTATATAAGTTGTTCTTCATCATTGTACAGTTTGACACAACAGGATGAAAGACTCAAGGGTATGCCACAGGTTAATAAGGACTTATTAAGTGCCTACTATGTGTCAGGTACTATGCTTGGTTGGTACTATGAATGTTGTTGTTAATTCGTTTCAGGTGTATCCAATTCTTCATGACCTCTTTTGGGGTTTTCTTGGCAAAGATACTGGCGTGGTTTGCCATTTCTTCCTCTAGCTCATTTTACAGATGAGGAAACTGAGACAAACAAGGTGACGTGACTTGCCAGTGTCACACAGTGATTTTGAACTCAGGAAGATGAGTCTTCCTGACTTCACTCCTGGCACTTTATCCTTTGCACCACCTAGCTACTTTTGGCACTGTGAAACAAAGACAGGAAGG